CTCGATAGGGCTCAATCCATGGACCCCAGGATCATGACCCGAGCTGAAGGCAGACACTTAACCGACTGAGCCACCCAGGTGCCCCCAAAACTGTCATCTTTGACCCAACTCCATCTTGTAATAGATGGGACTCTCTATGTGAGCCTAGAATGGCCTCTAAACTGTTTTTACAATTCTTAGCATCTTTATCTCTCTTATGTGAACTCACCCTCACTTTGCTACCACTGGTCTTTGAAGCACTTGCATGGGAGAAACACCCACCCAAAAGATGGATGAAAGAACTCCCTGTCTCCCAGAAGCCTTGACTTTTATTCAGGCACTCACCTCTGGCATCCCAATTCTCGGCAATGCTTCCAAACTATTAAACACAGCTTTTAAGTTTCAGGTGACCATTTTTGCCTGCAGGCTTAACAAAACTCAGGAAAGTGTCGCCAGGGCTGCTGAACTCAAAGGGCTGTGTGGGGAGATGAAAGGATGCACCAGGGTTGCTTGAAACTGACTGATGTGGTGGTGTTTTTGTGGGTTTTTTTGCTCCCCATCCACATGGACAGTAAGCATATATGATAAAAAGTGGGAATTAATATTCTCGATATGTTCACTTCCAGACATTGGGCCACAGATTTTTCTAGTAGCTCTCCAGACTGTGTAGTTCTGAACCTCTGAGAAAGAGGGCTCCACTGGGCTCCCCCTCAAGGGTCTCTGCAATTCCGAAGCAGTCCCCAGTACACAGTGGTAACTGGAAGAAAATATCAGGTCTGGGGAGACCCGCTTTTGGGTGCCATTTGCTGTGCTGGAAATGGGAGGCGGGTAGAGGAGCTGGGTTAGAGAAGTAGAGCTCCTTTGCTTCAGGGCCCAGACTGGGAGAGGAGAGGTAGAAATAAAAGGTTTGAAGAGTAAAGGACGGTAGCTAAGGGAGGGTCCCTTGCGTGGTGCAGGAGGAGTCAGGTCACTGTGCAGCATGAAGGGGCTGCTGTATAAACAGGGACGTGGGGAGAGCAGGAGAGACGCTGAAGAAGCACCCTGTGAGATGTGATGAATCGAGAAGGGGCAAGTGGAAGGAATGCGGAGAAGCAGGGGAGGCATAGGGCAGCTGCCCCGAGAGTAGAAGAGACTCAAGCAGACATTTATGATTGTCAGAGCAACACAACAACCTAGAAGTAGACCTAGAGGGCTTGTTCAGGGGCGGTCATCTTTAGGGGTGGAAATGAGAAAAACCTGCTGTAGCTCCAGCTGGCAAGAGATTTAAAGTGGAAGTGAGCTCCCCGGAGATTTGGAGAAGGGCAGAGGAGGGTGTGTGGACCAGGACAGCGGAGAAGATGGGGGGAGGTCTTCCTTAAGAACCAAAGGTGGCCTGCCTGCCTTTTGTGCATGAGAGAGATGGAAGGTCAGATGTTGTGGTTGGAAACGGGGAGCTTCACAGGTGGGGATCTTGGCAGGTGGCGATGCTAATGAGGGTGAAATCCAGAGCACGTCTACACTGGCAGACGGATTACGTGGGAATGATGTGAAGGTTACCAGAATAACTTGGGGCAAAGAACTGTGATTCATGGTGAGTTTGAATCTGAGAGGAAGATAGGAATAAAATGAGTGGAAAGAAAGACCCTGAGGCAGGTACTGCTAGGCTGGGGGTAGGGACTTGGGGATTCGGGGCTAAGAAACCAAAATCGATAATGAATAACAGAGCAACAGAATAAGAAAAGCAGTAGAAAAAGCCAGGCCTCCAAGTAGAACAATGCTCCAGAAGTGGTCATGAGAAATACTGGAACTCTTCCTCTTGGCCTTGTGGTTAGTTCGAGAGGGTGGTCCTCACCGTGGGGTTGTTGAGGGAGGCCGTGTCACTTGGAAGATCCAGGCACAGTTTATGTGAGCAGGTGAAGGGATGGTGGAGAGAATGATTCAAGGATGGAGGAAAAGTTTGTCCTTAGTAGGGTTTTTAAAGTTCCCAAAAGATCTATGCAAGTGTTTAGGAGAACCGTTCTTAATCTTAGCTGCACAACAGGGAGAGTTCAAAGGAAAACCCCAATACCCAGACCAATTAGATCAGAACCTTTGGGTTGGGAGCCTGGAGTAAGTCTTTTTTAAAGCTTCCCCAACTGAGTCCTCTGTGCGTGGGCTGGAGAACTACTGATTCAAGAAGGGCGTGTGTGGGGGGCAGGTGAGCCTGCAGGAGGAAGAGGTGTTTGGAAAAGGGTTATTTATGGGCAATGGTGGTTGGAGAAGCAAGGAGATGGCAGAGACTGGTGGGCCTTGGCAGGCAGGGTGCCAAGGAGGCAGAATTCAGGTAAGAAAGGGCCTTTCTGAAAATCAGCCCCAAGGTTCCATTTCAAATGTGGGTGTTAGGCAGTGTTGCTGGGACTGAACTAATTGTCTCTTCAGTATGTTGGACAGACCGTTTACCTATAAATAGGATTTTGGTATTTTTACATTATTAAAAGGTACAAGAAAGCCTTATCCATTATTCATATTTGTTTTGGTCTAAGTGCTGGATCCCCAGATGCTGAGAATTTATAAATGTCTTATTTGGACAGCACTGACCCTGATTCAAAATGCTCCCGGGTTGTTTTCACTGTGTAAACCTGTTTGTCAATCTCTCTTGGTGTTGACTATTTGCACTTCTTTTCACTAATTAAAACAATTAAAATTATTTTATTGAATTATTACCTTTTTTTTTTTTTGCACGGATTTGTGTGTTTCTGTTGGGAAGAAAGGTCAAGAGTGCCTAAGTATAAGACTGTGTGAATCAATATAAAATACATGTATCAAACACTCCAAATATGATGTAGATCTTCTATAGTGTGCTTTTTACAATGATTTTTCTCAGAGTGGTTAAAAGATTTGCCTTTAATCAGATCCATGGCTCCACTACAAATACAGTTTTCCCTATGCAGAATTTAAGCCTAGGATGATTTCCATCCTGACGGCCTTAGAAGCAGCACATCTGCAAGGAACATAAAAGAAATAACCATAAGCCTGACACTACAGTTGCGTGTTCCCATGATTTATTCAACATCAGAAACTCTTACAAGGTCACCCGTCAAAAATAGATCCTGTGTCTCATCCCCTCCGTGGACCCAACCTGCAACACTCTGCCTTCATGATCCAGAACGACTTTCTGGATGGAAATTCCAGAAGGAAATACTTTGATGTGTAGAAAAAAATTCTTCCCTTGGCTTCCTTGACACATATTTTTTTCTCCCACCTCTCTTCCTCTTCTAGGTGCTCATCCTTCTATAGCTCCCTTTGCTGGCTGCCCTTGCTCACCCCTGCAATGGCAGGGCTCCCTTTGGTCCCCTATGTTCTAGGGTGTAGCTCTTTCAGCAACTCACACTAAGAGCGGAGTCTAGGCTTCAGCCAGCTGCCCAGGCACGAAGCCTGCTTTTTCCACTCAATGGTTGTGTGAGCAAACTACTTAATTTTTCTTTGCCCTGAATTGAACATCTGAAAAATGGGGTTAATGGTATCTTACAGGGTTGCTGTAAAGATTAAATGAGTTAATAAGCATTTAGAATCATACCCAGTGCATAGGAAGTTCTTGGTAATGCTCGTTATTTTTAACAATGCTGTTTGTCTTATCCCTCTGCTCTTCCTCGATAGTCTCCCTGATCACAGAGATGACAAGATCAATATTATATAATTGGTTCCTGAGTCTTTACTTCAGGATTTGCTCTCGGTCCAGAAAGCCACACCCATATTTCTAACTGTCCCCTGGGCATCTTTGTCCTGATGTCTAAGACATAAGTCGAACTTGATATTCCAAAAGCCAAGTGACCATATCCACACCCCAAAACTCCCTGCCCCGTAAGTGTGCTACTGTTACTTCAAGGCACACTTGATCTTTTGCTCCACCCATTCAGTGTTGGTCACCCGGTCCCACAGGAGTTACTACGGGACCTTCCACACCTTATTCTCTTCTTCTCACTCCTCTGTCATCAGCCCAAATCTACCAGGCTTTTCTTCTTGACTCTATCTTTTCACTGATGTCAGACTAATATTTCTAACGTATATTTCCAATCATGTCTTTCGTTGGTTTAAATCTCTCCACTGGCTTGCCAGTAACTCAAGACACTAAATCTCAACTCTTCTCTCTGGCAGCTGAGGTCCATCTCAATAAAACTCCTGTGTATCAGTCTGGGCTTACTGGAAATAACAGGCTTGTATGGAGTCTGTATTTACTGTTCCCTCTGTGTTTCTTCCTGCTGTTCTCTTCACCTAGATATTTTGTATTTGTTCCCATTAAGCTGGTCAAACCCTACCTTTCATTTGGGCCAATTTCAAATATTAGCTCCTTTTCGGATGTCCTGAAAATAATACTATGCCCCTCCCCCGCCGAACTCCCTCCCATAGAACTTTGCATTTGTCTCCTCCATTTATCAGACTCTGACTTGTCTCCCAATCCTTGGCATACTTCTTTTATTCCTCCTTCTAGGTCATAACTTCTTCAAAGGCACTTACTATATCCTTTAAAGCTTCAAATGGGATAAAATGAGTCGCAATAATAGCACCAGGAATTAAGCTCATTTATTCTGTAAAGCAGCAGGCTGTTGTCAATGCTAACCCTCTTCCTCACAGTCCTCATAAAAAGAATGGGAAAGCATATAAATGAAGTGGCACACAAGAGGAACATACAATGTGAGCAATTACGCCAATTCCTTTTATAGGAAGCACACTGCTGAGATAAACATGGAAGCACCTTATTTACCATCCACATCTCGTTGCCAAATTCTTCTACTTCTTCTAAATTTTTCATTAAAGGAAATCAAGGAAGGTAAACAAAAGTAGCCCTTGGGAGGAATCAGCACAATGGAAACCACTCACTTATCAGCATGGCCTCAGAGAAATGTCTAATTTTTTAAAAAACATCTTTTGGGGCCAGACGCTTAGGTTCGCACACTTGGGCGCACAAACACACACCCACCTTCTCTGGCTGTGTGCCGCCACACCACACCCTGGCTTCGGTGTGATGGTAAAGAAGGAGGTTCGTTCGGACAGGAGCGACTTACCTTCAGGGCGTCCTGGGTGTCGTCCAGACAGTAGACTCGAACACTGTACTCCAGAGAGGAGCAGCAAAGCGGCCCGAAGATAGCCAGCTTCAGGCGCTTCGCAGCAGCTTTGGTGGTGGACTGCCCGACCAGGGCATAGGTGCTGAGGTTCTCTGTGAGGAGGTGGCAAGCCTTTGCATCCAGCTGAATGTAGCAAGGGGTGGTGAAGTTTTCCTCCCCAACCACCACCACATCCTAAAGGACAGGAAGGAAGGGGCCGTGGTTGAGCCACTGTGGGTCCCACTGGCTGCCATGGTGGTGGCCAGGCAGACAGAGCAGCACCTCTTCTGCTAAGTGTGACCATCGTTTTCCCTGTATTTTTTTTTTGCCTTTCTCAGCTTTATTATACCCTATTTCCATTCTTAATCATTCTCTCCCTTCCCCTTGCTTTCATACTGCTAATATTTTTTATTTAGATGTCCCCTATTTAGCATTTTTTTCCATCTGCGAGTCTACATTACTAGAATTGACATAAAATTCCAAAAGAAATTCAGGAATTTTCCTCTTAATTTCAGTGTACCTGAGTTTATTACCCATTTCTGAGAATTTAATGTTTTAATCTCTAAGTGTCTGATTAAATGTAAAAAGTACTGTTTTCTTTCTTTTTATTTTTTAAAGATTTTATTTATTTATTTGACAGAGAGAGAGAGTGAGCACAAGCAAGGGGAGCTGCAAAGAGAGAGACGGAGAAGCAGGTTCCCCAGGGGGAGCCTGACTCGGGGCTCAATCCCAGGACCCCGCGATCATTCGACCTGAGCGGAATGCTGACATTTAATAACTGAGCCACCCAGGCACCCCCCAAAAGTACTGTTTTATTTCATTGTCATTATAGAGTAGTAAGTTTTTCCCTAAAAATCTAGGGGTTTGAAAAGGTTTAGAGAAATTAAGGAACTATGCAATACCATTCTACTGTGTTTTTCCAAACTCACCTGTCAATTACTTTTCAAAGCAATACACTGCTTTTTCTCAATAATCTGGGCTGCTAGACCCTAGGGAAAGTACAATATAGCAAACTCGATGCTTTTCTCTGGTTAAACAGCCTATCTTTTTAGCTTTTGAAAATATTTAGCAAGAAAGACAAATAAATGGAAGTGTTGAATATTGTTAAAATAGTTGCGAACTCAACTAAATTTTGATTTATCCAAATGACTCAGGCCACAGAAGAATATCATCTGAAAGACCAGGTATAGGACCCATAAACCAAGGGTCAAAATTCCACGTGCGTCCCAGGGCAGCCAGGTAATAGGTACCAGGTAGGGCAGAAGACAATAGGGAGTGGGGGAGACTGGGGTAAAGCGGAGCACAGGCCTGTTGTCTAAAGAGCTCTGTCTCCACTGGGCTCATGCCATCACAGCTGTGCAGACATGCAGGCCCAGTAAGAAAACCACCTTGACTTTTTCAAGAGAAGCTGGAAGTTCACATTTTTATGTGAAAATTTCCAACTTTTAATTAATTCCAATTTAAAAGAAAACTCCATGTGGGAGAAATAAAGTACATGTGTGGGCCTGATTCCGCCTCTGCACTAGGCTACTTTCTCTCCACAGAGGCAGGAACTACATTGGCTTTGATTCCTACCGCAGCTCAGTGGGCCTGGCTCATGGGGAGCAAACGGCTATTTGTCAAAAAAAAAAAAAAAAATGAATGAATGTGTCATCATAAATTGAGTCTCCGGGGCTGAACAAAGATATGAAAGAAGATGCCACCTTGGGTGGTTATTAACTAGGCCTTGCAACATCATCTGACGGGTAGTAGGAGGGGGGTTTAATGCCATCCACGAAATCATTTCTTCAACTGTGCCTGTCCTCGAAGATGAAGCTCAAACTGCACTGGCAAAGAGAGAAAGAAACTCAGTACCTTCAGGTTTATTTTAGCCCCAAAGGACACCTGGAAAGAAGTGCTTTTTTTTTCCTCCAGCAGGGTGAGGGCAAGCCTCAAATATCCCATGAGGCATGTCACAGAAAGCTTCCAGTAAGACATGGTTGAGAATAAAGATGCACCATGTCCCTGCCATGGGTGGGAGAGCATACTCTTAAGCATTGCCCTCTTCTACTCTTGTCTGTTTATTTCATTTTATTATTTTTGTTACTGTTATTATTACTGAAGTCTAGAAATAGACAGGTATTAGGGTATTAAGCAGAGTCTTGTGCAAACAATTTAGAATCACTTGAGATTAAGACTTTGGGATATTTTCGAGATAAATCATTTCAAGCTTAAACGGACTGGAAGTTAGATCTGGTTAAGTCTGTTCATAACCCAACATAAAGCATACCGTTAGACTTGAGTCCTGGACTTTCAGTCCTCTGGCAAGGAGTGAGATCCCCTCAGGTGGCCAAGAAAACATGTCCTTAGGGAGGAAATTACCGTAATCCCAGGGATGCCTTTCTAATTGTAATACTGCTTTTTTCCCTATAATATTAAAGGTTTGAAACTTCATGTACAGTTTTTTTCTAAAAATGTCTTTCCTGAAAGAAAAATACCACAAGCAATCACAAAGTATATAATATATAGGTTGGATGCTTTGTAACGATCACACAAAAATACAGGGGTAGCTTTCAAAACTATTCGACATTTTTTGATGAACATATTCCTGAAATATGTCTCCTTGAGAATATTCTGAAATGTAATGTTTAATTTGGCTATTTCCCACTTAAACAACAGATACTGTCGTTTCAAGAGATGACAATGCAAATACGCAAGCTGGTTTTTTTAGTTACTAGGTATAAAATCTTCATGGTAAATCTAACAAATTCTTTTGCTCGTAACTTCAGGTGCTAATTGAAGAGTTCTGATGTAAAGAACAGGATCTGTTTAAGGCACTGTCCTTAAGAAGTTATGATGGCAACAGCCACAGGGAGCCAAGACACCACAGGTGTTCTTCATCCTAGCGGAGCTTAGGAGATGCACCCTTTTTGTTTTCCCAAGTTCAGCTCAGAAGAACTGTATTCCCCGTATGTGTCTACAATGTCTACCATTTTCTGACCCAGGAGCAACGTTTCTCTATCTGCAAATTTAAAAAATATATAGATGTTTCCCAACCCAAGACATAGTATGTATGTTCCGACAGGGACTTGTGTAAGACTCTCAAGTGTACTTTCCCTAGGAGTTAGCTAATGCTTGACCATGATTTTCACTGTGCCTACCCATCAGTAGATAAAGCATTCAGGAACTAGACTCTCTCCCTCCCTTCTCATACACTCGCTCCCTCTTTCTCTCTCTCCTTTTGAGTGTAAGCTAAAATTCCATTCATGTTCTGCTTTCAAAATAAAAAGCCTTCTTTCCCATAATTACTCCAGTTTGTCTGCATGAATTGCTCTTGTGTTCCATCTTTATCCCAATGTAAGCTCACCTCCCACTGTCCCTGTGCTGCCTGGTTCTTGAGCTGTATCTTCCAGTCCTCGGTATTGGGGTCTGCGCAGTGATGCATAGTGAGGATGACGGGGCGGGTCAGCAGGGCTCCTGGAGGCCCACAGCTCACCACAGGGGTCAAGAGTGTCTGGCTGTCTTCCATGGCTGGCCTAGGAGAAGAGCAGAGATTGGCATCAGTGACATTTCCATAGCATCCACTTACTATGAACTCATTAAGATTTTTAGATCTGAAGTTGTACAAATTGTTTCTTCTTGGGGGTTTTTGTTTTTTAGTTTTTTTTGGTTGGGGAGGAGAGGCAGAATTAAATGGGAAGACATGTCCTTTATACTAAGACTTTATTTAATCTTCAAGACTGGAGATACTTATGATAACAGTGAATCGGCCAGTATCTCTTTGATCCCCTTCCTCCAGACACAGGTCTGCCTTTGGTAATGTCCTCTGAATTCATGTACTGATACTTTTAGGATGGAACAAGAAGGAACAGAGTCCTTAGGAGGTTACATAACCATCTTTTCTGATAATACTTGCCATTGCTCTTACAGGGTTTTATATACTTTTGTTTTTTTAAGACCTAACTTGAGAAATACTTCAAAAAGAAATCACTTCAGAGTAAGGACACCCTAGAGCTAAACTTCCAAATGACTTTCAGGAATAATTCAGGTTAGTAGAGCAGATTCCTTCTTTCAAATACGACCAGACAGAATATAGAACTGTATTCTATAGTTCTAGAATTTAAAATGAAATCTACTTGTATACTTCCTACTCAGAGAATCTGGGTGGAAGAACTTCAAAGATCTAAATCGAAGATCTAAATTCTTTATCTCCACATGTTTTCTTAATTGTCTTAAGACCTTTCCCTAACATGACTGTAATCAACAAACAAATAGAAAAATTAACCTAAGGTATCAGTTGATATGTGAGCAATAGTCCCAAATTATTGAATGGATTGCCCAAAGTCTTCCAACTAACAAGTGCTAGCACTGGGACTAAAGCCAATGCCTTCTCAACAACAATACTCAACACTACTCTGTCAGAACAGTGTGGCTAAGAAATCATGAACTCAGAGTTCCAGAGGAAGCAAGACCTCTGGGTTCAACAGCACCACTTTCCATCCGAAGTAGGAAGCATATTCTACAATATGCTGACATATGGACAGTGCTTTAGACACATCCAAAATTGTACTCCACTACTACTGAGGGTCACCTCATCTATTATCAATTCAAATTTACAAAACGTTCTTAGGATAAACACAATCTGCCTTCCTGACACTTCTCTTCACATATCTTTGGCCTGCTTTCTCTCCACTTTGGCATCAGAGCCTTTCAAATATCCAGAGACTGTTATGATGCCTCTAAAACGTCTTCTTTATTTCAGACCAAATATCCTCAATTTTTCAACCTCAACTAGAAAAGCATGGTTTTCAGATATCTCCCTATATTTCTATCTTCACTTTGACATAGATGTCTGTTAGTATTCCAATGTCTTCTCTAAAGTGAGGCATCTGGAAATGAATATTAGACTTAAGTAGGCAGCAGAGGGAGACTACTATTTTCCTTGATTTGGAATATGTAGTTATATCAATGCCTCACCAGATTGTTGCCTTATATTATTCTCAGCCAAGTAATTATTTATAAGTATTATTGCAGGCTTGAGTTATAAAGGAAGACGGAGATAATATGCTTAAGCATCTCCTTTATACAATGAGGCAATGAAGCTCCAAGAAGGTCAGGTAATTTGTTAAAGCTAACCACTCTGTGTATTCCTAACACGAAAGGCTCTTAGGCTAGGTCTCTATAGTTTTGTGGTTGCAGTGATGGCTTTTGAACCTATGTACACAAATTTATATTTAGCCATTTAATTTCACCTTAATAGTTTCAGAGCAAATTTCAAGTCACCTATTTCTTAATGCTGTCTTTCCTCCAAATATCGGCCAACTCTTCCAGTCTTTTAGCCTCCGTAAATCTTATATGCCTGCCATTTATGTTCTCATTCCAATCACTGATAACACTGTAGTACAAGGATAAGGCAAAGACCTTTTCAAAGATACTACCTGAAACCTCTCTCCGGTCTGACATCAATAATTTGAATTTGTTGGTTTAGCCAAATATAAACTAATCAAAATATACATTGTCCAATTCACATCTTTCCATTTCATTCATGGACATATCAAATTCCCTTATAATTGTGATGGCCACTTGGAAAGGATTTTCCTCTAAGATTTTTTTTCTTTATCTATAGTGAATATATTAAATACTAAATAATCTAGAAGGTAGCTTATATCTATAGCTCACTCTAGTTTAACACTCAGGGAATGACAGCAGCTGTTTTATTTATATTTATATATACATTGTTGGAAGATAATTCTCCGTGGGTCTTTCATGTTTCTGCATGTCTTTTCAAGACAACTGTATAGCAATCACCTCGGAATATAAAGATACTGCTTATCTTTGGAGCAAATGGCAAGCATGTCTACTTCCCATTATAGAAAACTCAGGTTCTCCAAGCTCGGAGATCCTTCCTGGAATGCAACCACTGAGTGTGTAGATATCATCTGCTCCTCTCTTCATCTCCCTTTTGGAACTGGGGTTTGGGGAATTGGCACAAAAATGATAAAACTCTTGATAGTGCTATTGCTGTGAGTAACAAACTGTCCTTTGTTTCTGACCCGGGAATCTTGTGTCATCTATCAGCATCCACAAAACTGTGGCGGCTATGGTAAGGTCAAATCTTAGAGAGTCCTTAGCTCTTGACAGTCATTATCCTTCTAACATATTTGACATATTTTCTCCTTAATAAAACTTGGTTATCACTGCTTCCTCTCATTCTAAAATTTCACAAGGATCTCACCAACCTAAGGCTTTTCTTCTTATTTAGAAAATAAAAATAATTTTTATCTCCTTTTAGTCTTTACCATCTTTCCATCTTCAATGAATAAGGACACAGTTTTATTAAATCTAAAGTTATCAAAGTACTTGGAAATGTACTTTTTGGAATAATAAGATTATTGGCAGCTTGAGAAGTCTTTACCATCCCCTTTATCCCTTAGTTTTGATTTCCTCTTAATGCAGCCTTTCTTCCTTCCTTCCATTCTGAAATTCATTCTCTTAGTACATGGGTGAAGTTCTGGTTTCATTGTGGTGTAGTTGATATCATACTATCTGTCCTAAGCGGTAGCCTTATTCTTGCTAATTCTACTTTTCCTACCATGGTGGGAAAAAAAATAGCAGTGACTACATTTTTGCGAGCACTACCCTTACCTTTTAGCTACAAGTGTACCTTGAGAAGTGAGCATTAAACTTTTAAGGAAGGAGATTTAAGTGGAATCCATTTCAAGTGGTCCTTGCAATATAGTTGGAGATTGGAAACATCTGTCTCTCAGTCTGCTGTTAGCAGCGGGTGCTGGAGGCAGAAAGAGGAGGGGTTCTTCTCATCACTGAGTTGGAACAGAAGGGAGAAGCCTCCCTGCCGGGTTGGGGAGCTGTCAGACCTGCACTCTCCAAGCACAGCCCTGGCATGCAATATTGATGGGCACCATTCTTGGAGGACAGATAGCAAGGGAAGGGAGGGGCAGTAGGTGTCAAAAGAATTTATTAACCCAGTGAGGTGCAAGAATGTAATGAATAGGGAAGTGGTGAAGGGGAATTCGTAATGCGGAATGAAAAACAAAGAAGAAATAATGATAAGAATCTTTTTGTTTTCAAGATGAAAGAAGTAGTGTTGAAATTGGAAACATTTCCAAGCATATATGGAAGGAGTGACTTAAGGAAGATTAAGATTTACTATGTGAAACCAAAGGTCAGAGCGTTTAAATCCACATTTCCTTTCTTTACATGAAGAGAGGATATTAAAATACACAGAACAAAACTAGTGGAAAATAAATATAAATAAGCCTGACTCATGTTTTTGCAGAGAGCTCCACTCCTGTATGTCTTATGTGTTACCTGAGATATTTCAGCTAACATTCTCTAAATATTAACTGCAGATGACATGGAAATGAACACAAAGCAAAAATCAGCAGCAGAAGCAGCTCTTAAGTCAAAAGTCAGTAATGAATTAAAGTTTTCAAGGCTTTTCAAAGTCCAGAGAGGTGAATATGGTAAATGCTGGATGAATTCTGAAGCCTCTGGGACAAAGCCCCTCAGAGAGGAGTTCGAGTTTCCTGTCAGAGAGATTTTCTCGTCCTTTGCTTGCTGTTATCAGTGAGGAGAACTTCTCCTACACAGAAGGGCATAATTTACAAAACTTTCATAAAAGCAATTGCATTTGCTGCTTACGGCACACCTGTAAGGGAATTAGGGTAAGTATTTGTATTACTTCTTTTTCCAGAAGAGGAAACTGAAATCTAGAGATATGAAAACATCTGCCTACGGCCTCAAAACTAGTAACAGGCAAAGCTAGATTTCAAGCACAAGTGATCTGGTTTCTTTCATACAGTGGTGTATTTGGGGTTGCTTATCTGATTTAGGGCCTTGAGACTTTTTTTTTCTTTTTTTTTTTTTTTTTTTGGTTTATTTGCTGGAGCAAGCTCAAAATTACTTCTTGGAGAGAATCTATCTCCATCCACCTCTGTGTGGAGACAAGATGCCTTCTATTAACATACATGTCTTTTGTCAGGTCCCTTAGGATGACAATCCCACCCGAGGCTCAGCTGCCTTTTGAAGCACAGGGTTTCACATATAACTGGCAACTTGAAATATTTGCACTCTGGGTATCTGACAGGGAATATCTAACTCAATTGCTATCAAAAGCTCAATTGAGCAAAAAAAAAAAAAAAAAAAAATTATGGAAGCCACTCTGAAGGGCATGCCACCATTTCCCTAGACAAGCCAGAATCTATCCCTGGGTGAAGCCAGAACAGCTAAGTATCATGCTCTGACTGAACTGACGAATCGTTGTGGAATTATTTTACTGAATTTCTGCTTGGGCCTTATACCATCTACTTACATGGCGGGACACTAACAGAAGGAGCCCTATGAAAACTCATTGCTATTTTTATTTTAAGGATGTTGTTCATTGTATTAACAAAAAAAATGTTTTCTTTATGTGGAACAAAAGGAGAAATAACTGAGCTTCTTTTGGGCATATTTTTCCTCATGGACACATGGATTTTGTAACTTACCACGCTCCCCTCTTGAAAACTTTGGAACAGTAAATTCATGACCTATTACCAGGAAATACACTGGGAATCACATGAGAGGTTTTATACTTTAACTGCTCACCTGACTTTGTTATCTTTTCAAATCTTATTTTTTCTCATTTTCTCATTTTTTTCATCGAATTATTTATAATTGTTTTCCTCCCGTTGTAAAGACTGTGTTTTCATAAATCACCTTGAACCATTTGTTTATAAGTAGGATTGCGGTATATGAACACTGAGGAGAACAGTGAGAGAATACGATTTAAATATACTTGGACTCCACTCTCTTCCCCCATACCTGTAGCCTTTATATAGCTGTATGTTGGAATAAGGACTTGAGGACTGAAAAGGGGAATATCATTGAGTTTCACCGAGAAATAATAATGTCAACTACTATTTTACCAAGTTCCAAAAACATGTTAAATAAATGAAAACTTTCTGCTATACGATTACTTACATAGCAGAATTTTGGCCTGCTATCCTAACATACTATTTTATTATTTATACTCAGTACCTATATATGATAGTTTACATTGTCTCATCACTAACTCACACCTTCTTAACTGGGATTTCATCCTTTGAAAAAATCCTAAAGGCCACCAATGTCTGGCAGTTGACAAATCCAGGGATTTCTTGCATTAGTCTTTCTCTACATTTTAATTTTAATAATACCTGTGTCAACCACTTGACCATCTTGAAACTCTCTTTACTTTTGATTTTTTTTTCCATTATACTTACAATCATTCGTTCTTTCATTCAAAAATATTCATTGAGGAGCTGCTCGGTATTCAGCACCATGTCAGATGCAAACTCTGTATTTATCTGCCTGATCCTTAAACTGTTCTACTTAGCTTGGCTCATCACACCGAAACCTTAAATAGGAATGTTTCCCAAAGCTCTCTCCCCTGTTCTCTTCTTTTTGCCTCTGCATTATTCCCCTCAGAGGATCCACACCTGGTGACTCCCCGTCTGCATCACCAGCATGAATCCCATATCCCTATCCGCACACTGCCCACCTTTAAATCAGAATTTGTCCTGCTTCCTGGAACCAGTTACGCTCACAATTTTCCCAGTGCCCAACGCTCGGTTCCTACATATTCATATTGTGTTTTGACCCTCTTCTGCAACACTTCTAACTGGTGGGGAAATTTTTTTTTTTTTTTCTGAAATATATTTCACTTTCCATCCTCCAGACTCAGGTCTGGCTTCTTCCCCTCCCCCCCTCACACCTAGTTTATCGCCACAGCTCACCCAGGCAGCCAGCCTCCAAGGAGTCTTCCTGTTCCCTCCACCAACTCGTCCAGCCTACCTTGTTTACCAGTTCAATCTTTACAATGCACTGCTATTCTCGTATCACTTGGCTGCTCACAGACCTTTCATGGCGCCCCACAGTTTACCAAAAAAGTTCTATTTACCTTTATATTTGGAACGTCTAAGTTGATTTCCTGGCCTTTTGAGAAAACTGCTAAGCGAGGACAGAATATAGAGGAAGGGAAAATTAACTTTGGTATTTTGAATTCAGATTATTTTTCAAAAAGAAATTACAAAGAGCAAAATTTCAGTCTGAGTCAGACTCATTTTTTTTTTTTTTTAAACTGCTAATGAAAACAAGGCAAAAAAGCCCACGTTAGTGCCATGAATCATGGAAATTGTATCCACAGGGGAAACAGAGGCTTGGCGGCCTCTCCCGAGATCTGTAAAGCGGGAGAGGTAGAAATCATGAGCATGGCCTTGCAGCTTTGCCCCCTTGTCAGAGAAAGCTTGTCCCATCTCTGCAGCTCATTTAGGCTGCTCATGTGCCATTTGGGACTCTCTCTTAGAGCACATTCAGTAATGATAAGGCCCCCTTGTCATATCCACTCTGCCACATGTAATTAAGTTCACGTCTCCCTTTAGACAGTTCACATCAGCAGATGACCAGCTGGATACCAGCCAGCTGGAAAAACACCCAGTTTTGGACGCAATAAAGGGAATCGGAGAGAAAGAAAATGGAGGAAAATGATCAAAATTGTCCTACAAGTGACTTGAAGTAACATTCAATATCTTCTGATGTCCTCCCAATGTCTTCTCTTAGAAGTTCTGTCTCAGATCATGTGAGGAGAGAAAGGGTGCTCAGTGAACAGTAGAAAGAAACTGTGTTCAAGAATACACTAGAGTAAGAAGCAGAGGCTCGGTGTGCCGTGGTGCTGTCTACAAAGGAGGGACGGATGGCCCCCGAGACAGCAGAAGAGCTTCGCGGTGAGATCACCTGGCTGTGAATTCTGCCTTCCCTCAGCTGTTAGCTGTGAAAACTCGGCTATGTGACTTGTTTTCCCTGGAGCACTAGTTTTTTGATCTTTAAATTGGAACTCATCGTAACTCACAGAGTTGCAGTGAGGAATAAATGAAATTAAAAGTAGGGTGAATAAATGGAACTATGCCTTCTGTTATGAAGATATCCTAAAACACATTTTTGTCATTGTGTTTTTACAAGAAAAACGCATCTAGTTCACAACAGAAAATAAGTGAAGAGAGGTATTTCTCATTATTTGCCACAGGTATCTTCTTGTGTGGGTGCCTTGATTCATGGTCTCTTGTGCGTATTTTCTTTTGAGATCTTGGGGGTTTCTCTAGCTTCATTTTTATAAACAGAACTTCTCTGATGTACACCGAGTTCAATAGAGTAACTCCCTCTGCATCTAACTTCAGGTGGCAGGGACGGCGAGAAGTGATTTATAGTTTCCTTTTCTTAAGAGTCAAAGGCAGAGGAACCTCAAAGCAGAAGTGTCTAGCTTTATCAGTGTTTTGTTTTCTCTTTCTTTCATCTAGAGTGCACAAGGATTCTGGCCAGGGTGCTGGCTAAGCCATGGAAAGGAAAACCATACAAGGCGCATGAATGCACACACCCTTCAGCCTCAGCGTGCCCCTGCGGAAGCCCTTTAAGGCTTGATGGTGGTGGTCAGATGGACAAGAAGAGACACGAACACCTCATTGCTTCTCAGCATAAAGCACAAGCCAATCCTCATTTCTGTTTCAACAAAATGTCTATGTTGGCAAAGGCCTTGAGGGATGGATGTACTTGGTGCCAACCTTGACTTTTGACAGGAGGAAGAAGACAGAAAGTATACACAGGGATCTGAGAGTTTGCTGCTCTTCATTTCTCCTGCTGCAAAAGAAGGGCGCGCTGAGGGCCTGTGAATGTTACTTTGCATTGAGAATGAAAAAAATGAATATTTGATGTGAGTAAATATGAGCCTTTTAGTAATTTTCTGTTGCTCAAATTTAAGGCATGAATGATACTCAAGGAACTTTGTCATTTTCTTAGACCAGTTAGTGTTTGTCTAGGTGAAAGTACACCACCTGAGGAAAAAAATGTCCGGGTCCTACAGATTATAAATACCAATATCTCCTCCTGAGAGCATGATAAAAGAGCTTCTTGGCTTTTGAAGAACAAGACTAAAAATGGATGTTTTTCTGAGGATGAGAGAGGGAAGACAGAAGGTATAATGTGTTATAATGATAACCTAGTTCGACATTTGTCACTCAGGCTTTGTATGTGGAGCTCAGGGCTGAAGAGCCAGTGACTTTCCCCTTGGGAAAAACAATGATAATTACGTGTAAGGATCTTCATTTCAACGACGTCTTTCATTTTAAGATCTCAGTGTACTTCAGAAGCATTAATCAGTCAGGCCTTTAAAGCACTATTTAATACACGCGTTTTATGTGGGAACTAACCAAGAGAGACCATTTGTGAGATTTGTTAGAGGCCAGACTGAAAATTGAATTTAGGACTTCTAAACTCCTCTTGTTATTTTTACTTAAAATCACCTCATCTTTATGATTACGACACATTCACAACAAAGCCTCATGATCCAATCTAGCTTTAATCAACCCTAGATCAACATTTAGAAAGGCTCGATATGGAATTTGTAAGTGCTGAACTTAAGGAGGTTGATAACAGTTAAGCTGGGGGACTCACAAAAAGAAGAAGCGCAGGTGAGAATAAAGTGCCAGGCTGACATGGGGGTGGGCAGGTCAGAGGTTAAGGGGTTGTCTAATCTCTGTGACCTTTGACCCTATAATGGGAAAGGGCTGGATTCCTGAGCCAGGCCACATGAAGCTGATGTCTCTGTGTCTACCCATGTATCTCTCTAGACAATCTATGGATCACATTTCTGGCCATTTTTTTTCCAGCTATAATGGCCACATGTCCACTTGAGAACTCAAGATTTGCAAAAGTGTCTCAAGCTTCAAAGATAAAGAGAAGCTGACCTTTTAGAGGTCTAGGAAAAAAAAAAGGGTATGCTGGAAGCAGGGCACTCAAGACAAAACTATGTTGGGTGTATTCTTTCGATTGCACAATTCTCCTCCAGGTCAGACATTGATAAAGTCAAGCGCACCAGAAAAAGCATATTTACCTCATATTTTCTTTCCTGTGTACAGTCACATACATTTCGTAGACTCTCCCTTGGGGAATGGCCCCAGCGGGAATCAGCAAGCTTACTCCTGAATAGCAAAAGAGAAAAGCAGTCACATAAGACCTATGAATCAAAAGGAAACTTCACAGAATGCCTTTGAAGCAAGTGAAAGGGAATGAGGAGATTTTGTGGCCATGTAGCCACAAGCCTGCTTTTTCTCTAAAGACATGTAAATATTCATAGCTGCCCTGCCTTCCTTCCTTATTGGCCTTATTTGTTAACACAGCTCCCTCTGAACTGTTATGGAATTACTCAAAGGAATGATGTCATTTTTTTAAACTCTTGTTTTATTTAAGGAATAGACAGATGGTTCCCCTGTTGTTTTCCTTGTAAAATGAGGGGAAAACCAACAACCGCTCTTAAAATTTCAAACAGCTGTAAATGATGCATCGTTTCTAATTTAAGAAAAAAAAAATCCCCACAAAATTCAAAGTCAGGGAAATGCTAACCTCCGTGATATCAAAAAACATTTATTTCTGAAATATCTGGTTAGCATCAGTGTTTTTCCGTAACAGAAAAATAATTGGCGAACAACTTCTTTCATCATGCATAACTCTAGAAAATGAACAGACAACTGCTAGTTTTTAGTCATGGCAGGCCAAGCAGGTTTTTACGTAGTTGCTAACTGATACCATTTTGTAGGCCTAGGGGATCAAGCTTTGTTCTAAATTAACTGGGCCTACAGCGGTGCTTCTCGATTTGAGCTTGTATCAGAATCACCTGGAGGGCTTGCTAAAACACACATCACTGGGTCCCACGTTCAGGGTTTCTGACTCAGGGGGCCCAGAGAATTTGTACTTCCCGTAGGCTGCCAGGTGACACCAATGATGGTGGTCCGTGGACACACTGTAAGAAGCTGCTTGTACCACTGCAGCATCATCACGAATAATAATTCAGGGTGGGCAGCAACTTGAAGATACTTGTCTCCATTTTATTCCAGTGAATGGGGCTTCTTTTCAGCTCAATAAAAATTTATGGAGCACCATGGTGAGTATCATGTTTGGCAGAACTGTGAATGCCAAGAAGTAAAAGACAGGTTCCTGTCTTCGAGTAACTTATAATTTAATTAGCGAGGACATGGAATATGCCAAACCAGCAGAGGGCAATAAGGAAACTTGCCCGACCGTGTTGGAAAGTCCCAAGAATAAAGACTGGAGAGTGAAGGAGGAACAGTTATTCAAAGGCCTTTGTGTAACTGGTTGAAAATGAGTCTTGTCCTTCTGGAGAAGAAAAGTTAACATGAGAGCTGTGGTGCTGTGGGAAGCAGAATGTCATCCTCGGGTATAGAATAGTTTGCTGAGGCACAGAGTGGACACAGGAAGACCACTCATGAGCCTACCAACCCTTGGCATTTTTATTTTTTCTAATGGAAACAATAACATGTACCTTTATGTTATAGGAATGAAATAAAACTATGAATGTAAAGTAGTAAGAGTAAGGCCTGACACAGATTAGGTAACTTGTTGTAAAATAATGTATGTAAATCACCACTGCCTGGGACATAGAAAGTATTTACTATATGCTACCTCCCTCCTTTCCACTTAAGAAGGCTTTATAATAATTCATATATGAAAAAATGACAGGTGCAGAAATGGGAAGGAAAGGTAGAATCCAGTGAATATCATGAAAAAAAAACTGCCTTGAGAGTAATATCATGTTTAAGCAATAAAAGAACAATAGAGTATATTTTGATCTATTTATTTGATAGAAATATTTGATAAAAAAATATATTTTTAAGTTCATAATTTTAAAGAGCATACAATAGCACGAGAAGTAAAGAGAAAAAGGTGAAAAAAGCATATATAATGTATGATCTCAGCTATGTAAAATGTATAGATAAAAGGAAAAATGATATTCCATTAAGGATTTTAATTTATTAAAATACACTTTTAAAGGGATGGTGTGACAAATTGGCAAGGCATTGAAATGGGGGACTGAATAAGAGAAAGAATCAAAGACAAGATCATATTCAGATCAGCAGATCCACTTGTTCTGTATAGTACTTGGCTGTATGGCTATTTACACATTATATTATTTTCTTATGCTACATGAGGACTTTAGGTCAATCAAATTGTTTCTTATTGCTGTATTTGCAAAATACTCAGTCTTGTCCAAAAGAGTGAAGATAGATTCACAGAGGAATCCATTAACCCTCTTAGGACCAATAGACGTAAACCCCTTCCTGATTAACGAATATCAAACTTTAATCAAACATTATCAGTCACTCACTTAAATTCACCTTGTAAGACCTTTATGAGACTTATCTTCTAGAAGCAGGTAACTAAATGATAAGCTGAAAATTCAATTATCCTACAAATACATACTACACATAATAAGGCTGTGATTCCAGACAGATCTATCAGAAGTGGGAGTGAGTACCTTACAAATACCTTGAGGTTGGAGACTGTGTAATAAAGAGTTAATAAATGAAGATCTGATGTCTACCATGATGTCCTCTGATCTGAAAATAGTATTCTGAAGTATTGCTTCCTACAGTAAGTTGGAAGCTACCCAACTAATATGTTTTCTAATTAATTTGTCCTTTTAAAGTGTGATGACAACAGTGAGCACTTCTGGCTTGCTGTTGCCTTCTGAAGCTCTATTACAAAGAAGGTCAATGACAGTTCTAAATTATACCTTGGCAGAAAGTTGTGAGTATAATATTTCTAGAGGAAGCATTTTCAGAGTCGGTTGGAGAAAGATGAATGGTTTTGCTGATTTTGTCTGAAGCAATGTTGATTTACATCGAAAGTGGATTTGGGTTAGATTAGGCTACAACTAACTTTTTAGGCCTCATGAAAACAAACAAGTGAAAAAGATTTGGGTACAAAAATATGTTTTCAAGATCTATGTAATTTAAACGTCTAGGAATTACCTGAATTGGGAACAATAAGGTGACCCCCCAGAGAGTTGAAGGTGCCAAACGCCGTACAGGATGGGTCAGTCTGCCTTGCTAGACTCTGATTCTTCACATTGAGGGCCTCGTTCTCCAACAAGGATTGGGTCATCTGAGGAGACAGCTTTGATGCAAACTCAGAGAGGTCATCTTGGGGGGTGACTGCACCTGAGGTGTTGTAGACTTTGATTTTCAGGTTGGGCAGTGGATCCAGAATTGGAGAGTTAGTCATTGGGATTTTGTCTGAGACATCATGCAAAGCATAGACGGGTCCTCTGTACATGGCTGCAGCTGATGTTAGGTCTGGGGGTACCACCAGGAGATCTGAGTCAGAAAGAGAAAGGAAGTCCATTTGCATCCTCCATTCAGGCTACTTCTATTTAGTCAGGCTCCCCGCTGACACTTTCTGAGCCAAAAACAAATGAACTCAGTCAATATTAGAGATGTATAGACTCTAAGGTTCTGTTGAAAACAGGGCAGTGAGATTACTGTGATCCATTTTATTATTGGCTACAAACAAAGAGACAAGTCCATTCTAAATTTTGCTTTCAAGTCTACTCATTGCCCCTAAAGTATTTATCTATTTCAACAGACTGGATTTGAAGACAGTGATCCCCACTCAGTGACTTAGGTAATAGTTTTCCTTGTCTATACTGGATTTGAGGTCATCCATCTGTACACCACTCTATTCATATTAACGCAAGCGCTTTGTCAAGAGGCCAGAAAAAAAAAAAAAAAGGAGATGTAAGAAACCAGTCAACCAATCTGTGTGGTCTTTTAAAGTGAAAGTTTTTAAAAGTATGACAAAAGTATGTGCACCTTGCCTCCTCTGGTTGGTTATATGAAGTCAGTCAACAGAATAATGAATAAAACAGACCCAAATCCATGTCTTCATGGAGCTTATATTCAAGCCGAACAACATGACTTGAATGTCACTGATTCTGACACTACACAGGGAGGCTGCTGACATGCCTAAATCGCAGGTGTGAAGTGCAATGTTGACTGACCTTGTCTCGCTGCCTTGATGTTCACAGGCTGAAAGCCTCCATTGAGTGCTGAGGAGTCAATGATATCAGACTCAAAGTCGCGATGGTTCTTGCGATACACAAATAGGGCCACCACTACAGAAATGGCCAGGCAAACTATCACAGCTATCACAATGCCAACATACAGAGCGACATCATCTGAGTCAGGAGCAGCTAGGGAGGACAAGGAAACATCAGACCAACTGCTTAGAGAAATTTCCCACAGTATACATCCATATTGCTGTAATTTTTTCAGACATTTATTGCCTTTTTTTATAGGTTAATTTCAAATCTATTTCAAAAGCTGTATAAAACAACTGTGGTCTTTCAGTGGAAAATTATCTCTGATTTCTTTTCCTTTCTCACTCTGCATCTATCCACCCACTAATCTATCTTAAATTGGGCAGCATAACAGACCATTTATTAGAAGGCATAAAAAGAAACTGGAACTGAAACCATCCCAACCCACAGGGAAAAAAACAAAGTTCATTACTAATTTCAGGTGAAAAAGTTTGGAAGGCTGCTTTGAATTCACTGATATTTCTCCAAAAACATAAACATAAATACTGTTAGAACTATCCGGCATGTCCTGAATCTGTGTATTTATTGAACTAGAATATTTTCCTAAGTATCATTCCAAGTCATAAAATCACTTTCCGTAACAGTCTTCTCACTTTCCCCTAAATCAAGGAAGGGGTGGCTGGGAATGGTGTACGTAACTAAGCAAAACAAATATTAGAAGCAAACATGTTGGATTTAAAAGGTGTGCTTTCAGAAGACCCAGATCTGGGAAGCAGAGGTCGATGCTGATAACTCTAGGCTTTTGATATGGATTCGGTATTACCTCTGAGAACCGTGAGCTTCTCATGGTCACTGGTCAGAGATTTACATTTGAGCTACTTGTTACTGAATCAAGTATGTCTAGATGGTGCACTGAGTACCATAAAGGCCTGGTTCAGTGATCAAAAAGGTCAGACTACCCCAGAAGGCAATTAAGCATTTGACCAACACAGTGTGCAGTCAGTTGGGGGTCTGTTTCTGGGTAAAGCCAGAGGAAAATTCCTGTAAATGTTGCATATTGCCTTGGTGGCATAAGACATGCTTCGATCCAACCCCAAAAGGTGATAGAAGCTGATAAATGAAAAAAATGAATAAAATGAAACCTTTCTAAGAACTCCACAGGCACCTTTAAGTCTGTTTTTAGTTTTGTGTGACCCACAAACATTTTCAGCAAAGTTAACTAAAGCTTTTCCAATCACTGTAAAAGAGGAGATTAGACTGGTATTTCAGGGGGTCAAGAACAGCCTTTTTCTGCTCCATTTTATATGCACATGCATTTTGGGGGGGAGGGAATTTTCAGATATGTAAGTCCCAGGGCCTCCTAAGAGTTGAGGAGCCGTGATTCTGTCCTAAAACGCACAGCCACATAGTGGATATGGGCAAATGACTCGTCATGTAGATTGCCAATGGCTCACCCAAACTCTGGGGTCTTTGACATGTTTCTTTGACACATGGACAGTATAAAGGAATTCTCTGTTGGCAACTGCTCCATCTCTTTCGGCATTTTGTGTTTAAATGCACTGTATGTGAGAGGTTTTTGGGTTTTTTTGGGGGGGGGTTGTTTGTTTTTTTACTATTATCTTTCCCAAAGTTTCCAGAATATCCTCTTTCCCATCCATCAAGTCGATATCCACAGATCTTTTCAAAATCCCAATGACAGCTCAAACCCTCCTGGTTGCGCGAACACTGCTTTCTGAGCCTGGACCTCATTGTGCAGCTGGGCAGTATTCGAGCCCCTGCCGCAGCCTTCTCAACTCCAGCCAGAATATTCTATCTAAATCCTTACGGTTTTACTTTACCAGGCTGTAATTACTTCCCCAACCTGAATGTTTCCTAACTCAACAGATCTGCCTTTTCTCACCCCTTTACTTTTTAGCATCGGAACCGGGCCCGTTATTAGATCAGCATATTTCATGATATGGTTTGTCAGCTATTGGGACTGAATGGCAGACTAATAGATTGGAAAGCTGGCAGTGGCTTAAAATGACCCTCCTTTCTTCTCTTTGGCAGTGAAAATCTAATTTGTTTCTCATGTTAGAATATATTAGGTGACTATTTCCTGTGTGCACATCTGTGATCCAAAGAAAGGTAAACTTGAACTGGGGGCAATCACGTTAAATGATTATTCAGCAACATAAAAACCAAACATCAAACTTACAAGAAAATCCATATTCATTCTGGGTTCTCTGTTCAGTTGAAATAGGATAAAGGAAACCTTGAAAGGAACAAAAAATGAAACAAAAATGGGAACAAAATCAAATTAATGAGGGAAACAAAATAAGAAGCATGAAAAATGGTTTAATTAAAAGAAAAGGAAAAGAAACCTGTGGTCCTTTAAGATTCTGGTTCAGTACAGAATTATGATTTCGCATCTCCTGTCTGCTCTGGAGCCTCACCAAGAATTAATAAGTAGGCAGATTGAATTTCAGAGTAAAACTGGTCTCGAGTCACTAACTTTGGAGTGCTTAAAGTCTTTCTTTTATTGAGCATAAACTCTAATGGATCTAATTTATTTCAGACATCAAGGGTCATTAGCATAAGGAAAATCTTTTTTCCTTATCCCTGCCATATGCTTAAATTCCCAGGACATATTCAGCAAGGCTCTAAGCAGTTTTTTTCCTTTTTATTTAATCATAACAGCTTGCTCTTGGTCTAATAGAACTAAAGGAGACCTGTCATCATTGGTCAAAGGTTAAATACCCATTTACTGAGCTGAGCAGAGACCACCCTTCTTCCCTCCATCTCAAATCCACTTTTTGGAATTTTGGTTGTTTCTTGTCCCTCCATTTAAAAGGAATCCAATAGGTTTTGCCTAGGGACTGAGCAGTTTGTCAATGCAATGGAAACTGGATGCTTTTTATTTGAAATCATTCAAAAATCAATAGAGCCCAGAGATTATAAGGTTATTTATTTTAGGGCTTCAGAGGAAGAGTATAAATTGAGAGAAATAAAAACCTCATCTCAACAATAAATGCAGAGATAACACTAGCAGTTTTATTTTTCTTTCTTTTTAATATATGGCAAGGTAGGAAAGATGATGATGATGATGATGATGATAAAAATAATGTCAAGAAGAAGACTGGGAGAAAACATTTAAAAATGTGGAATACAAATTTTTTGAAATGAAAAATCTATAAAAATTTAAAAGTGTAACTTATAACTGGCATCCTGAGTTTCCTAATATTTAATATTCTGCAACATACGAATGGATCAAATGATACAGTACCACTGGATTAATCAAATTAAAATGAATAAGAAGCATATGAATTAAACTTTCCTGGTAATACTCAAGGCCAAAAATAATGTGGAGAATCTGCAAGAATCACAATTAATTGGTTCAAAATTAAAGGTCTGTCATGCTCTAATACTAAAGGTAACTCTAAATCGTGCCTCAGGTAGATCCTCTGTAGTTTGCAGAACACTCAGTTCTTACAAGCTATTTACCTATTTTGGGGAACTAATTCTGCGGAAACATGCAGTGCTACCTTAATGAAAGAGAGGTTTGCTGTAGCACAGACAAGTTTGCTCTGAATTAATTTTTAATGCTTTATTTTAGAGCAATGATTGCAGCCTCCTACTCAGTTTTATAAATATTATATTCCTTATTCCAGTTGTCTGAGTCCATGTATTAGGTTTGATTTTCATTTTTAAACACTTCTGTCTGGTAATAACCTTTTTCCATTTGTATTCTGTGAACTCAATAAAAGGACATCTGGGACATATACAGGCACTGGAAGAAAGGTGATTTATTTTCAAACCCGAAGACTTCAGACCATACAAGTTCACTGCCAGCAGAAGAGATAAGGTGACTGGTGTCGCCACTCTGGTAGGGAGGGTGTTAAGTAGAGGGATGTCAAAAGATTCATTTCTTGCAGGCTAGAAGGTCTGGAAACTAGTGTAAAATAGGACATCTGGGGTTGGTCTGATGTTCACCTTGAAGATTTTGTTAAGAATCAGCGTGGGCCTGCTGGAGTGAGCAGGAGAATTGTATCTTACAGAGGGAGAAGGCTACCTCCAAAGAGATACAACATGGTCGGAAATTTCTCCCTGTGAAGCAGTTCTGGGCATGCCTTGGCTTTTGTCTCCATTTCCCAACAGAATCCTTGTTCTCGACAGGCAGAGCGAGGAATAATAAAAAGGAATGTTATAATTTCGATTTTAATCTCAACTTCTCCATATTTATGTAGATCTACACAACTCGATAAATATTTTGGTGACTTACGGTATTCATCTGAGACTTCTATTTCATTCTAGGCACAGACCTGGAATTCATTCACTCATTCATTCGTCTAACAAATACTTTTGGGCCCATGTCCACATATATACACTGGGTTCTAGTCTAGGCATGGGGGGGTGCTCACTTCGGCAGCACATATACTAATATTCTAGGCATGGGGTACCATGACAAACAAGTTGGGAAAAGTCACCGCTTTTGCTTTAGTTTAACGGAAAGTAAACAAGTAAAAATAATAAATAAGATCAATTCAAATGCTGAAAAAATTTCTTTTGAAAAATAGAACAAAAGAACATAATACGACTGGAGATAAAGGGACAAGCAACTTAGGAAATCAGGGAGCAATTTTCTTTTGAAATGGGATTTGAGGGGCGCCTGTGTGGCTCAGTCGGTTAAGTGTCCGAGTCTTGATTTCAGCTCAGGTCATGATCTCAGGGTTGTCAGATGGAGTCCTGGGTGTGCGGCTCAGCGCTCAGCAGGGACTCTGCCCCTCACCCTGCTCTCTCTCTCTCAAATAAATAAATAAATGTTTAGAAAAAGTGGGATTTGAGCTGAAACTTGAACGAGAAAGAAATCAGCCAAGCTGAGATCAGGAGGGAACAATGGTCCAGAGAGGGACAGTAAATGCGGAAGTCCTGACATAAAAATGGAGTGGTGAGGGGGACGTGAGAGAGAGGAAGAGGGGGCAGGCAGGTTCAGAAGGGTGAGGGGCAGCCACACACAGGCCTGGTGGGCCATGATGCAGCATTTTGATTTTATCCTAAAGGAGACAAAAATCTTGTGATCGAATGTAATTTTGAAAAGAGTGCTTTGGTTTTTCTCTAGATAATGGGGAGCAAAGGGAGCAAAGTGACAGGGTTTTATGGATGGTTTCTGTGAC